ACCCACCAGCCACTCCTCGGAAGGAAGGTTGGGCATTCCTACTTCCGTAGTGATACTGCCTCGGAAACCCAAGGAGGGGTCGCTATGAGTCAGGGGCGACTCGACGGCAAATAACAACAACAACAGCTGGCCCGGCTGGCCGCCTTGGCTCTTAATTTCCATTCCAGTTTGACACCCATCTGCCAGAAACTACTTTAAATCACGTTGAGACTCTGGGCTCCTCAATAATCTTAATCATTTTTTTTTCTAGTTCATTCCTTCAAGGATCATCAAACCCCTTTTCTACCCTCATTTCCATTTTTATCCCCTCCACATTCACATCTGCTCTAACTTTACAGAGGTAAGATAGATATATATATAGCTAACCATAAGGCCAATGGTTCAAACCCACCATTTGCTCCATGGAAGAAAGATGGAGCGATCTGCTTCCATAAAGATTTACGGCCTTGGAAACCCGTCGGGGTTACTATGAGCCAGAGTCAACTCAATGGCAGTGAATGAGTATATATAAATATAAATATAAATATAAATATATATATATATATATATTTCTGCCCCACTGTCTCAATATATTCCTGGTCTTCAGGCCCCGTCTCTTTTTTCTATCAAGTCTCAGATGAAGTAATATCTTCCTTATTTCTAAGCTAGTTCTTCTACCTGTGCCTTTGGTTAATTTTTCCATTTTCCTATGGGATCTTGTGGTCTTACCTTCTCTCTCACGGAATCATTCCCATCATCTCTGAGAAGCCCTTCCTTTTTGCATCAGAAGTACAGAGAACCTTTTCTTTTAAGAAAATCACAACTCACACACACTTTCACACTTACTTGATCTTACTCTTCTGGTTTGCATTCTTGCTCCTCTTTCACAATTAGATTTCTCAAACAAATTGTCTAGAACAGGGGTTTTCAACTGGGGTGATCTAGTCTCCCAGTGGACATTTGACAATATCTGAGACATTTTTGGTTGTCACAAATGTGGAAGATATTACTGGCATTTAGTGAGTTGAGGCTAGGGATGCTACTGAACCTTCTACAATACAGGACAGCCCCCACAACAAAGAATTATCTGGGTAGAGTGACTAACCACCCTGCTTTGCCTGCCACTTTCTCATTCTTGGTGCTGACAGTCATGTTCCAAGAAGCCCCCATCCCTGAGTGTACTGGGATGACTGGTCATTCTAAATCCGGTCTTAGCTATCTAGTGCTGCTATAACAGAAACAACACAAGTGGATGGCTTTAAAAACCAGAAATTTATTTTCTCACTATTTAGGAGGCGTTGTTGTTGTTGTCATGTGCCGTCGAGTCAGACCTGACTCATAGCGACCCCTCCTTGGGTTTCTGAGGCAGAGTCAGTACGGAAGTAGATTGCCGAACCTTCCTTCTGAGGAGTGGCTGGTGGGTTTGAACCTCCAGCCTTCTGGTTAGCAGTCAAGTGCCTTAGGCACTATGCTACCAGAGCTCCCTTTAGGAGGCTAGAAGCCCAAATTTAGGGTCCTGGTTCTGAGGTAAGACTTATTCTGTTGGCTATGGGGGAAGGTCTTTATTCCTTGGCTTCTTGGTGATCTTCATGTGGTTTGGCAGGTGTCCTCTCCATGTCTTCTTGCCTAATCTGCTCTTTTTATCTCTAGTAAGAGATTAACTCAAAACACACCCTACACTAATCCTGTCTCATTAACATAACAGAAAACTCATTCCCAAATGAGATAGAGGTTAAGATTTATACCATAGATTTTGGGGGAGAACACAATTCAATCCATAACAGGCCCAAAATGTCAAAATTGACAAAGCGGAGAAATAATGCTCTGGAGGAAAGACCCATTACCTTCATTTTTTTCCTTCAAACTCAGTTCTCTTTAATCTGACATTTATTTTCTGCTTCTGTTGCAGCTGTTCCCTTGAAAGTCATCAATGACCACCTTTCAATAAAGAAATTGAATCATTTTCTCCTTCTCCAACTTTATGATCTCTTTCAAGCATTAACATTATTTATTTGCTCCTTTTCTCTCTCTCTCTTTTTATTGTGGTAAATATATAGGTTAACAGAACATTTGTCATTCCTGCAATTGTTCTGTGTACAGTTCAGTAACATAAATTATGTTCATCATGTTGTTCAGCCACCACCCTTGACCATTCCCAAATTTTTCCATCACCTTTATCAGAACCTCAGTGTCCCCTAAGCATTTTGACTTTGTCTTTGCTCTTTTTGAAGCTCTTTTTTCTCACACTCTTGGTTTTCCCTTCTACCCTCATTACTGTGTTTTCTCTCTTTTGTGAGTTCCTGTCGTCAGAATCAGCTTGATGACAACTAACAACAACATTCCTACTATCCCCTAAGATAGTATTCCTTGGCTTCCTTCTCTGCTCTCCTGTTACTCTATTCCTTAGCTTCAAATTTCAGCTCTGTTAGTTGATCCCCAAATCTCTTTCCTGAGATTTCCAGCTGATTGAGGGTTTCCCTTGGATGTTCAGCAGAATCTAAAAGTCAATCTGAGTAATGATAGGTTAAGAGGAATATTTAATACATTGGCAAAGAGGAAAGATAATATAGCCTAGTTTACATTTCCAACCTTTGGTCCTGTATAACCCTTAAATCTTAATCAAGATAACTCTATACATGTCCTTAAATGCCTTGTGCTTTCCTTCTTCCACGGTTCTGCTCCATGTCTTCTTGTTTGATTGGAATATATTCTCTCCTTTCCTTCTTCGATTCTTCCTGATCATCCCAACCAGGAAAGTGTGAAATGGTGATACGGATTAATATTCAGATTAGTAGTCAGAAGATCTATTTCTGTCATTTTATTTACTTTTAGACTTTGGAACAATTACCTAAGCTTTCTACAATCCATTTCTTGAAGAATTTTATATGTTGTTGTTGTTGTTGTGTGCCGTCGAGTTGGCCCCGACTCATAGCGACCCCTCCTTGGGTTTCCGAGGCAGTATCACTACGGAAGTAGATTGCCCCATCTTCCTTCCGAGGAGTGGCTGGTGGGTTTGAACCTCCAGCCTTCTGGTTAGCAGCCAAGTGCCTTAGCCACTATGCTACCAGAGCTCCCTGAATTTTATATAGAGGATAATAATCTCATCTCCACTTACCTCAGATAGTTAATATTAAAAAAATAATGTTTAACATATAAACATTATCTGTCCTCCTGAGTTCTGCTGACATTTTGTACTTTGTATTTGATTTGTAAAGTAATGACAGATGTTGCAAACTTCTTAAAAGTAGAGAACATAAACCTTTTTTTCTATGTTCAGGTAATGTTTGCAGATTCTGAGTAAAGATTGCTGAAAGAATAGCAGTTCTATCTGCTACTCAATCTTTATAACTATTCCCAACTCATGAATTTTAAATATTTTATATTATGCCTAACTTATTGCCCTTTTTTTTTTTTTTATCTCCAATTTAGGTGATGTCTTTCCAGTGCAAATGAATCTAATAGCTCAATCTCAGTTTATACCTTTGGCTGAAGTTCTTTGCTGTGCTGTATCTGATATGAATGCAGCTCAGGTTGTAGTAACACAGGAATCACTACTGGAGCATTTAGTGAAACATTACCCAGGTGGAGTAATGCGTTTTTCTTTATGAGTGAATCATTTCATGTGTTTGGTTTGTGTTAAACACATAAATAGACTGGGTAATATCCTATATATATTTTTTTCTTCTCTAGAACCTTATGTCAGAGTCCTGCTATAGAAAAGGCCTGTATCAATAAATTTGATAAGGACATTTCTTTTACTTTTCATATGAGCTTTTTCAAAACTGTTTATGGCAATTAATAACTAAATAAATCAGACTCTGTAGTGGGGACTTCAAAGTGAAAAGGAAAATTCATCTTCCCCCATCTCCTAAATCCCTCCATTCTCACTTCCCAGAGGTGACAACTACTGTTGTTGATATTTCTTATGTATACTTTCATAAATTATATTTGGATATATATATCCCTTTTTATAACATAAATTGGGTCATCTATTCATGTTCTCTGCACATTTTTTAACTTAAAATTTTATCTTGAAGACCTTTCCGTATGAGCACAGATTGATCTTTCACTGATTTAATACTGTGATATTCCAGTGTGTGCATATAGAAGAGTATTTTTATTTTATCCCATTATAAAAATGAATATGCCCATTGTAGGAAAAAAAAAGAGGAAATCACTCACAGCACCACCACTCAAAGAAAACAAATGTTAATATATTGATATATTTTTTTCTAAAGTTTGTCTTATATATTCTTTTTTTAAAAATATAATTTATGTATAGTGAAATACACAAAACTAAAGTGACATGGGTAAATGCATTTTTTTTTTACTGTACCCTCCCTAAAATTTGTCTTATATATTCTTAACATTGTTTTCATAATATAATTTTGAACCTTGCTATTTGGAATGAAGAATTTTCCTTAAGTTTATTTTGTTACTTTCCCAGCTTGAAAAAACACTATATCCAGATGTTTTGAAACTTTCCCTCATTTTTTTCTATAGATTTTTATGAAGTTTTAAGCCACCGAGACTGTGGTTTTCAAATACTTCCATGTTTGTTCACCAGTAATGTTTTTCTCAGTCATATTTGAAATTTCTATGTTTGGTTAACTTTATTTGTGTAATTGCATGGACTCAGTTTTTTTCACTAACCATTTACCTAGCTATATATATATATTTTTTTTTTTTTCTGAATCCAATAATATTCCTATTATTCAATTAAATTATGAATGTTGTTAATGCTTCTTTGGCACTTTAATTTCACACATTAATTTTATTACATATACTTAATTGGGAGCTCTGGTGGTGTAGTGCCTAAGGCATTAGACTGTTAATCATAAGGCTGGCAGTTCAAACCCATCAGCCACTCCTCAAATGGAAGACTGGACAATCTACTTCCATAGAGATACCACCTCAGAAACCCAAGGAGGGGTGGCTATGAGTTGCAACTGACTCAACAGCAGTGAGGTTTTTTTTTTTTAAATACTTAATTACATATAATTAATTGGGTTTATCCTGCAAATGTGTAGTTGCTTCTGAATTACTGACTTCCTTCATTAAAATGTTTGTTACTCAAAATCAACCTGTGTAAAATACTTGTTTGTTTTAGGCATTGCAATTCCATCTCAAGATATTATCTATACCACTCTGGGAACTCTGATTAAAGAAAGGAAGATTTATCATACTGGAGAAGGATACTTCATAGTTACTCCTCAGACTTACTTTATCACAAATACAATCAACCAAGAACATAAGAGAGTCCTATCAGATGAAAATCACCCAATGCCAACTTCTATTACATATCTAGTGAGTGTGGACAACTCTGTAGAATTAGCCAAAGAGAATGCTGCCCCTATTTCCCATTGTCAGTCTTGCCGATGCTTTTCTGATGTGTGCACTCAGGATGTACAGAAACCACAAATTGTTGCAGAAGTGACTAGAAAAGGCCAGAAAAGTCTCGGGGAATCTAAACCTTTGGTACCGAATCAGGCAGTTTCAGTGTCTGAGGAGAATCATGTCTGTGATAGGACCAAACCTTCATCATGTACAAAAGACAGAGAAAAAGGCAAGAAGTTTGGCTTTGGTCTCTTCTGGCGCAATATATCCAGAAAGGAGAAACCCAAAACAGAGCACAGCAGTTTCTCTGCCCAGTTCCCACCTGAAGAATGGCCTGTTCGAGATGAAGATAACTTGGACAATATCCCACGAGACGTTGAACATGAGATAATCAGACGAATTAACCCCATTCTAACTGTTGATAACTTAATCAAACACACTGTCTTAATGCAAAAATATGAAGAGCAGAAAAAGTATAATAGCCAGGGTACTTCCACTGATATGCAGACAAGTAGGCACAAATATTCTACAAAAGAAGATGTTGAGAAAAGGCAAAGTCGGTCTGCAAAACCTCAACGGCAGGGTCATTCTCATAGAGAGAGACACAAAGGCAGAAGTCAGACAAGTGAGCTAAAAAGCATTAGACAGGAGAAATACCTCAAGCTCCTCGCTACACAGTCCAACTCCAGAAGTAAAACTCCAAATGAAGTAGTTCAGAAACCACTTGGTGAGAATCCAATGGTGCTAGATTCCCATTTGATTTATAAAAGGAGAATCAGCAATCCTTTCCAGGATTTGCCTCATCGCAGGAGCCCAATGACCAAAGGGCACAAGAGTCAGAAGTCCAAGGATCTGAAACCCAGTCGGATTGGGCCAAAAGAAAGAACTTTCCAAAGGTCAAGGTCTTTACATTCCTCAAACATCTTTGACTGTGAAACCAAACAGCCATTTGCAAAACAACATAAACTGAAAGAAGAATCAATTTATATGAGTAACTCTGTCCCACCTATCAGTGATGACTTAAGAGATCATCTCCCAGATAACGCTCAATGTAATGATCTGCAAATTGATAACAACTGCTGTTCCTTTAGAGAAGTTACAGGATACGACATGTATGGTGGAGGAAGCGATGTAATCCCTGAAATCTTGAGGAGAAGCCATTCTCACTTTGACAAATTAGAGGAGACAGAAGAATCACAGCATGTCCCGCCATCACAAGATCCTTCCTCTTTAGACCAAGCTTCCTCTACTTGTGGGTTAGTTGCTAAAACAATGCAACAGTTCCAAAATCTTGGCCTTTTGGATTACCCAGTTGGTGTGAACCATTTGAGACAACCTGAGAGGCAAAACAGAGATTCAGAAGAACTAAAGAGAAAGGCATTTGTCCAGGACACAGAGACTCTTAATCTAGAAAATGAAGGCCTTTCTGACAGTGATCAGGCCTTGTATGAAAATGAAGTGGAAGATGATGATGGTGCCTGCAGTTCATTATATCTGGAGGAGGATGATTTTTCAGAGAATGATGACTTACGTCAAGTACTGTCTGGTCATACTCGGAATTCCTTTCCAGGGGGAAGTAAGTGGAATGATTTAGGAAAACAAAAGGGGACTGAAAAATCTCTGACTGAGTACAATAGCAACATATATAGATTCGAAACTCAGGTGCTTAATGGCAGTGAATGTTATCAACACAGTGGGTTGCTAACTAACCCAGGTGAAAGTCAAACACCTAATCTCGCTACTGAAAGCAGTGGCCTTCATTCAGGGCCCAGGTTCACTTTTAATTATGAAGAGGACCCCAGTGTTGCTAAATGTGCACAGGCCTCAGCACTCGGTGATGGAAGTATATTTGATTACTACAGCACAAGGAAAGCCAATTCTGAGGCTGAAACCCTGCAAGACTCTGCTGGTGACATAGGAAAGAAACCAGCCACCTGGAGTCAGAATCCTCAGAATCAGGAAATGAGAAAACATTTCAAACAGAAGTTAGAACTCTTCAGTTCTTCACGTAGGCCAGTGTTGTCTCAGGATGTCCAACATGAAGATAGTCACTTGGAAGGAACAGAAAATCATAGCATGGCAGGAGATAGTGGAATAGATTCTCCACGGTAAGTGCACATAACAGCATTTGATTAGCCATTGTCCCACGAGAATTATTAAAATCAAGGGCATATTGAGTTACTTAGTAGGGGATTGCTGGGTAAACTGTTTATAATGTTATAATTATGCCACGCTTTATTGAATAAATTGTACAAAGTTATGAAATAACTTACATAATAGGGTAGAGTTCATTTTTAATGTGAACAAAAATTTAATCCAGTACCACTAAATTTTGAATGATTTTCTAAAAACAGAAAATAACTGCTATAAACCAAGCACTTCCTGAACTGAGAGCTGGAAATTTTCACTTATATTCCTGGGTGTACATAGTTTGAGAAAGAATGACTACCACAAAATCACTTAATTTCTTGGTATTGGTTTTCTCAGTTTTTATATGAAGATACCTATATTAATCTACTCGGATGATTATTACACTTGACAAATAAAATGCAAAATCTTGTTTTTGGAAATGGCTCCTGTTTTCTTGCATGAGTTGTGCACATAATGTACAATTTGTGCTCCAGAAGTAAGAATGGGTAAAAACAAACCCACTGCCATGGAGTCCATTCTTATTGTGACTCATATTGACCCTACAGGATAGAGTAGAACTGTGCCACAGGGTTCCAAAGCTGTAAATCTTTACGGAAGCAGACTGCCTCATCTTCCTTCCACAGAGTAGCTGATGGGTTTGAACCACCGACCTTTAGGTTAGCAGTCAAATGCTTTAACCACTCTTTTAGAATGGATAGGTTCTTAAAAAATAGGAATAAAGAATAATGATCACGGTTTGAACAGTCTTTCACACAGATCCTGATGAAGTATATTGCCACCTTAGAGAAATCATTAAGTGTTTAAAGATGTGGCTATTTTCCACCAATATTTTTCACACCAATTTATTTAAATAACTGTTCAGATTGTAAAATATGGTCATACTAGAACTTTGAAAGGTACTAAAAAAGTATGTTTTAAAAGCATACATGCTACTATCTAGATATTTTTAAAACTCCTTTTAAATGAGTTTTCCTGGTAATGCTGTGGTCTGAACAGAAGATTTTTGCCTGTTGGGCTCATACTGTAAACCAGCTGTACTTTGCATCTTGTTTTTTTTCAGTGAATGGTGTTATCATGAACATTTCCTCATTTTATTAAATAATCTTCTGAAAGTTCATCATAAAAATTTGGTATAAATCTTTACTAGCTTTTGTATTATATAAAATTGTGTGCCTTCTTTTGAAAAATTAAAACAATATAGAAATGTAAAAAGTGAAACTGGAAGTCTCCATTTCTCACCTTTCCCAGTCCCATTCTATAGAGGTGACCTACATTGTTAATGGCTTGCTATATATATATATTCTTCTCAACTTTTATAAATAGAAGTAAAAAAAAAGTTAACAGCAACAACAAAATCATATAGAATCATGGCTTTCTTCTTTCCACCTAATTCATCATGGATATATGCAGGATCAGCATTACAGACATCTAGTTCATTCTTTGTAGTGGCTGCTTAATATTCCATTATGTGGGCCTCATTATTTATATAACTATTATTTTTCTTCTTTTGTCATTTAGAGTGTTCCCATTTTTTTTGCCATAATAATCAATCTGCAGTGAATTAATTTTACATATATATATTGTGTGCATTTCTTTTTACTTACTTAGGCTAAACTCCTGAAAGTCTACATTCTTAAAACATATCTTTAGATCTTTATTAGGGGAACAAAATCTTTTCTGCTTGAAACAGTAGTTGAATTTATTAACTCTCTTAGGAAAATCAAAACATTTGTCTCCAAGAACAATGGTAGTATAAACCAAAGAGCCATAGGTTCCTCTTCTTTTTCTTTGGCAAAAGAAACAGATTAAGGAAATTGCTCCTTGACATGCAGTTGAGAATTTTAAACTGAGAAATGATGAGAAATTTAATTTCTTAAAAATAGTTGATAATATGGTGTTCTTGAAAGGTGTGCATAAAGACATTTAGAGGAAAGAGAAGGAAAAGTAACATTTGAACATCAGCTATGTACCAGAATTGTTATAAGGAAGGAGGGGGATGGAGATGAGTAAGACATTGCTGCTACCTACAGGAAGTTTACAGTTTAGTTCAATCGAGGAGACCAGCCAACACCCTCACTGAATTTAAGAAAAAGCATAAATTCTTCATAACTGCCAAAGAGGTGAGGAGTTAATGGTGGCGGGCTGTGTGGTAGAAAACTTATTGGGGGACAGATTTGTGAGATATATCTTAATGTAATGTACAAGTGGTAGGAAGGGGCAAAATGGGAAAAGGGAAATGTCAAAAGCAAAAATAACCAAACGTGAATGTGTTTTGGCTGAAGGAAGGTAGATATATGGGGTAAAGGACTAAAACAGCTTACAGCTCCAAGGCAAGGAACATTATCAATATGACAAATATTTTAGTTGGCTTTTCCTTTTTGTAAGGAGCTCTGGTGGTATAGTGGTTAAAACACTTGCCTGCTAACCGTAAGTTTGGTGGTTTGAACCCACCAGCCACTCCACAGGAGAAAGATGAGACAGTTTGCTTCGGTAAAGATTTACAGCCTTGGAAACCTGATAGGGGTTGCTATGAGTCGGAATTGACTTGATGACAGTGAGTTTTATTTTGTTTCCTTCTTGTATGACTCCCCAGAAACAAAGATAAATTCACAGGACAATATGGATCACTTCATTGTATGCTAAAGTTTTTCAAGGAAGTTGCTTTTTATTTCTGACTAGAATACTTGATATTGTGTCTGAGAACAGATGTTGTTCAGAAAATATGAACTCCTTAGAAAGCAGCTTTTCAAATAATTGAGGTGCTATTGTGATGCCTTTAAAATGTAAAACCGAAAAAAACAAGCCAGTTGCCAATGAGTTGATTCAGACTCATGGTGACCCCATGTATATCAGAGTAGAACTGTACTGTATAGAGTTTTCAAGGGCTGATTTTTGAATAGTATACTGCCAAGGCTTTCTTCCAAGGTACCACTGAGTGGACTCAAATTGCTAACCTTTTGGTTAGCAGTTGAGTGCATTAACTTTTTGTACTACCCAGGGACTACTGCCTAGCACATGTGTTTATTGTGTGACATTAACTTGATCCTAACTCATAGCAACCCTATAGGACAGAGTACAACTGCCCCATGGAGTTTCCTAGGCTGTAATCTTTATGAGAGATTGTGAGATCTTTTTTTTCCTGTGGAGATACTGAGTGGGTTTGAATGCACTGACCTCTCAGTTAGCAGCCAAACATTTTCCTATTGTACTCCCAGGGCCCCTTGCCTTCTATATAAGCCCCAAACCAGACCCACCACCATCGAATCGATTCTGACGTACAGCAATCTTTTAGGACAGAGTACAACTGCCCCATATAATTTCCAAAGCTGTAAATCTTTACAGAACCAGACTGCTTCATTTTTCTCCCATGGAGTGGATTTGAACTGCTGACCTTTTGGTTAGCAGCCAAATGCTTTAACCACTATGTCACCAGATCCCTTGCCTAGCAGTAGGAGGCACTAAATATCTGTTGATAATGTTAGATGTCAATTTATCTGAAAAATGTACCTTAGTGTTAATAAATGTTGTTCTCCTCAAAGTAACAAATGAAGCTATAATGTTTTGATTAGAAATCCGGGTCACTTATGAAGGGAATAATTCTGTTATTTTTAATATCTTTAGGACTCAGAGTTTGGCATCTAATAATTCAGTCATTTTGGATGGACTAAAAAGAAGACAGAATTTTCTGAAGAACATTGAAGGCACAAAGAGCAGTCAAGCACTCACACCCAATTCCTTACTACAACTAACTCCAGTCATAAATGTTTAATTCTTATTTTTCTTTTAGAAACTTTTTTTTTTGTAAAAAGGTAAAGCATTGCTATTCCTAAAACCAAGTTCCTTACTATATAGAATGTTTTAATCAACCAAATATATCAGGATCTTCATTTGAAAGCTTTTTTTAAAAAAAAAGTTTTTGCCATGCATTTATTGGGAATATACAATTTTCAGTAAAAAGAAACATGGACTCACTGGACCTTTTCTAGTTAAAGAAAACTAAAAATTCAGACATTCATTAGTTTCTCAAAAGTAGTAGTTTCTCATAGAACACTAATCTTCTACCCAGTATTCCATTTCTCTGTACCCATACTACTGAGTTCCTTTGTTAAGTGAATCTCTCTGGATTTTTAACACAAATTCCAGAAAATAATGTGATGTAGGGTTGCAGAGATACTTTGCAGCTGGAGTCTTTTATCATTATCAGAACAAATTCCTTCCGTCCAGATGTCGCTGCTCAGGATCTTCTCTGCGACCGGCTTGAACAAGAACAAATCATTCCACATTGTGACTGGCAATGTCCAAAAGGCCTGTAACAGTAGACACCTGGCTCTACTATTACTCTGGTTCTACCCTGCATTTCAGGCTCTTTCTACAGCATGACGACGAAAAATCAAGATATTCTCCAATGTTGGAGGTAGAAGGGAAGCAGGATGGTTGCAAACTGGATTGTGAATGAGAGGAAGGCTCAGAATTAGAGATTTACAGGAAAAATGGAAGATGACTGATAAAAGTTTAGCTTCTGAAGGGACAATTGCAATTTATCTACATCAGATCCATTTCTGCTCATGATGAGACTTAGTTTTTCCAACATTTTTTCTGGTAGGTTTTCTTGAAACCAAATGGTGGAATGGCCAGTTTTCTTAGAGTTTGGGGAACATGGAGCAGTCAAAACTGTGTTCAGCATGCTGACATATGGGTGAGGAGGGTTCCCCCCCCCCTAAGTTTCTAACGATTGTCAAAGGCAAATTGAACTATTTGAAAAGTACCTCTGTCCAGATCTCACCATCCTGATAACAAAGAAGTTCATTGTGAAGCTGGGCACTGTGGAAAGCTGCATCCGTGCCCTGTGGGTGTGCAGGGGAGGGGACAGTTAGACCCACTACCCTCTGTGAGTGCTCAGACCACTCGCTGCTGGCTATTGGTTTTCAGTGGGTCCTGACCAACCAACTTTGGCATTTTAAGAAGATAAGCTATGGTCACAAGGGCATTCCAAACTCTGCTCAAAGTACAAAGAGGATAATCTGGCACAGAAAAGACTTGGGAGGTGGCAGATGTAGACTTTTTAGGGGCTCCTACTGCTCAGATTCAATGCCAGTGAGTGGAAGTTAGGAGAAAAATTTTAGCTTCATCTGAAGAAGAACCTCCTATTGGACCATTGTGCTGAAGATGAAATAGGAAACTTTATAAAGTAATGAATTTCACAGTTTTTAAAGCATTCAAGCAAAGGCTTGATAATCCCTTAACTGGTATATTGAAGAGGCATTTTCAATATTTAGCTTAATAAAATGGCTCGACTAGATGATTTTGAAGATTTCTTCCAATAAGATTTTGGGCTTATTAGAGTCAGTGAGGACTCTGCAAAATACTGAACTCATGCAGGATTGTTGCTTCCAGCTGTCCATTTCTGCACCAATCATAGCCAACCCCTGGAAAAAGGAGCACCAACAACTCTGTTCAAAATCTTTTACTTTGGACTGAGATATGGTTTATTAGTAGAATGAAGAATCCAAAGTCTTGTGGCTCCAGCCATGTCTAGGTACCAGTGAAATCCATCTAATTTGAATGGTGGCTGCATCATGATACTCTAGTTAAATGTATTCATGACGCCTATTATGAAACCAAGATACTTCCTTTCTACACATGTGACTCAGCTATTAAAGATGAGAATATGTGTTATTAAATTGGATTTTTTTTTGGAGATAGGTGACTTGCTCCTCCACCCCCGTATTAATTTTTTTGTGTGGAAATTTTAGTTCTTGACTTGTCTTCCTTGTTGCAGTCTGTTCTCTAATGAGAAAACAGTTCTCTTAAGGCAATATGATGATCTGAGCTTAGAGTCAGGCATAAGTTTGAATCCAACTTCTATTCCTTGCTAACTGTATGATGGAGCAAGTTAAACTTTTCAGAGTATATTTTCTCATCTGTAAAAAACTCATTGCTGTCCAGTCGGATCTGGCTCGTAGTAACCCCTCCGGAGGTTTCCGAGGCAGGATCTCTACAGAAGTAGATTGCTCAACCTTCTTTCCAGGGAGTGGCTGGTGGGTTTGAACCACCAGCCTTCTGGTTAGCAGTCACATGCCTTAGGCACGATGGCACCAGAGCCTCCTCATCTGTAAAAGGGAGATAAGTAACAATGTCTGTTTACTGAGATTGTTGTGAGATTTGTAGATAATCTAACAAAAGTTCCAGTACAAGAGGCACTTAATATTGTTACAAACACACATATGTACAAGATTTGCCTGATAGGTAAATACATGACATACTGCACAGGTCACTTTTTCTTGCCAGGTTGTCTGAAATTCCTCCATCAGAGTTTCAGTCCTTTGGGTAAAGATTATATAAAGTATCCTTAATCAAAATCTAGGTATGCCTGGAGGAGATAATGTCTTCAGATAATAAGTTTTCAATTATATCTTATGCTGTTGTTAGGCACTATCAAGTCAGCTCTGATATAACCACCTCATGTAAAATAGTACAAAACGTTGCATCGTCCTACACCATTTTCACAATCTTTGTAATGCTCGGACTCACTGTAGCAGCCACTATGTCAATCCATTTCATTGAGGGTCTTCCTCTCACTGACCCTTTATCAAGTAAATGAGAACCCTTTCATTCTCTCTAATCTGGAATCTCATACCTCTGGGATCCTCATGAGAGTAACTGGGTTCTGTAAGCTATTTTCAACATCCT